TTCCAGGTAGCTCTGCTCAGGAGAAAGCTCTGTCAATGGCATTAACACCTGCTCAGAGCAAGTGCATTCTCAACAGAAGCTGGAGGTACGGTCCCTTCCAGGAGCTCCAATACTCCTTTTTGCAGTCTCAGCACTACTCTTTCCATAATGTCTCCTGAAGTATTGTTCAGTCATGAAGAACCTGCACTCTTATCCACAAACTGCACTTAAATTAGAGCTGTATACATGGCAAGACAAAAGCCTGCCTCAGCCTAACACTCAATGCAGGCAGGCCTAGATCCTTTTTCTTACCAGTAAGTGAATTTTTTCCGCAAGGGACACACTAAGATCACATATGGAGTCAACTTGCATAAGGGTGTGCAGTAGTTATGGATTCACTCCAGTCTGAACTACAAATAAGATGTTGTTAGATACAAATTTATAACTCTAAACAACATAATTTCTTCAAACAGAATAGGATGTTTTAGATTTTTTTTTTTTCTTGCTACATGGTCCTTCATAGAAGCAACTTCTAGCCACTAATGCTTTGCACTTCCATTTCTTCAGAGAAAAACTGAGTGTAGTTCTAACTAGAGAACTACTAAGCCTCTGAGGTCTCCACAAATAGAGGCAAGGGAATGCCATGGAAGCCGGGCCTCTCATGCAGAAGAGGAGCCTGGCTGCGAGTAGAGATTACTGAGACTCCAAAAATTTAAGCACAAGCTGAAAGATATTGTCCGTCTGTGGACAGAAAGAGCCCCATTTGTGAGAACAACCTTCCCAGACCAGTGCAACCTTCACTTGCATGTCTGCTTCAGTACTATGGCAGCCTTCAACTCATTAGGGTGTTCAAGTTTTTGGAATCCTGGAAGGAACAAGAAAGACCGCTCTATGGAAACTGATCTGTGCCAGGCCTGGTGGCAGAAGTCTCCATTGCTCCTCTCGTCACATTTTGTTTACAGACAAATTCAGGTTCCTCCCCTAGCACCAGATCTCTGAGCACTAACATGTTCTGATGACATCTCTGCCTTATTCAGTAGCACAGCAACCATGAGGCAGAAGATCTGCAAAGCCCCTCTTCACACCCACATGGAAACCAGCTACGAAGACTACGCTGTTCCTTAGCAGGAAGGTGGCAGTAGCCATGCTCTTCCACAACTGCACCCAGTCCCGAGACCTCAGGAAACACAGGCAGGCACAGCCACACCACAAACGGGGCTGGGAGCCCCAGTGCAGGCTCTGGGCAGCACCCAGGCCTGGCACCCGCTGCACACCGGCCTGGCTCTGGCTGCCCGGGGGCCTGGGCACGGGCCCAGCAGGTGCTCACCAGCAGCAAGTTCCAGCAGCTCCTCTTCCATCTCACTGCTCCATTTGCAAGCTTGTCCCAGTTAGAAGGCAGAATTGTGCTCCCCCTCCCTTACCCCTCAGTTTCCCCAGGTAGAGAGGTAAACAAAGGCAGGCAGGGGTAATGAGAGCTTTGCACTGATTGAAAAGTTAACAAAATTAACTATATTATTTAACAGGGAACAGAAAGGAAGAAGGGCAGGGGTTTAACAGGGTAAAGGGACTATAGTAACAACAGGGCAAGGAAGGGTAAGCTTGCAAACATACAGACCCCAAGCACTGTGCTGAGGCTCCCCAGCGCTGGTCTCCGTGGCCTGAAGGCGGACTGAAGCTGGATGCACGATCCTTGCACCGGGGTGGAGATGCCCGATCCTTGCACGTGGATGGAGGCAGGGAACGAGTCTGGAGACCAGGCCCGGGTCCCAAGGTGGCGCCGCCGCACGCAGCACAGGGAGCAGCAGACAGCAGAGCAGCGTCCCGGCCAGGATCCCGCAGAGAGGGGAGCAGAGGGGAGGGGGCGTCTCTCCTCTCCCCCCTTACAGACCCCAGCGGGCGGTCCCGACGGCAGGAGGAGGGGAGTGGGAACAGAACAGGTCTCCGCCCCTTTCATCCAGGCTCGCTCCTGGTTTTAGATTTCAAGCAGCAGGAGTTCCAAACCATCACAAAGCTAAACAACTAAATTCATACTCGGTGTCTCCAGAAACGTGAATTCCAGTACCAGCTCCAGTCACACTGCTTGGAGGGCTGGGGAGGGGGAAAGGCCGTTATTCAAACAGTTGCTTTTCAGGGTGCAAATGACCTTATTTGCCAGTGTGACAAGGCAGACCTCTCGGGAACCACACCACAGACCTGTTAGCTTGAAGACACAGCACTAGACTCAAAGCAAGGCTTGAGTAACCAGCCAGACACCATCTGCTGAATTTCTCCAAACTTTATTGGCATTTTAGGAAGAAAAGGGTATGTATTTTAACAACTCCTCCAGACAGGGAAAAAAATGCCTTAATATCAAGGTTGTCTCTGCAGATAAGCACATGGACCCACAAATTATTCCACAGCCTTAAGGAACTGATGTTTTATTATAATCCTGTAAAAAGACTGGTCAAAATAACCTCTACATAATTTACAGCAACAAAAAATAAAACAGGAAAAATACAAGCCAGGCAAATACTTGATAAAGTACTTCCCTCCCTTGACCCCCAGGAGTAGTAGTTATCCATTTAAACTGGAACATGGAAAGGAAGAACAATTCACTGTATTCATTCTAACAAATAAAAAAATGTGTCTACAAATCTCACCATAATACTGAAAGCTTCATACATTAGTTTTCTTGCAAAATATCATTTCTTTATAATACAGTATACATATCCAAGGGAAGGAAGGCCATAAACATATCCTCCATCCCATGGCTAATATTTTCTAATTGTGCATAGCTAGAAGTATTGAAATCAAAAATCATTAGATACCACTGGAATATAATACTGGTTAAGAAAAAGGCAGGGCTGAAACAACTACAAAGAGTCGGGTGGACTCACTGGCACAGGCCGTTCTATTCCTGTATTGGACCATTTGGAATTAGAACGATTAAAAACCCTAGAAACAGAAGTCATGCCAGCATTGGAATACATGAGCTCAGCAGTGTTGTGACCCACCAAAGTAGGAAAGGTTTACTGGTTTATTATTTGAACACCTATTCTAGGCACTATACATCCGCTTGTTAGGAAACTGTTAAGGTGTAATAGAGACTCTTCTCCCCTGAAATGCATCAATAGTTGCCATGGACAGAGCAGAAGTGCTGAGAACCAGCTTTAAAGCACCAAAACAGAAGTGGAAAGGTTGTCTGTTCCCCCAGCAAGGGGACTCATGTAGAGCCAGTGCCAATAACCTTTCAGTAGAGAAATACATAAATCAGTTCTCACAAATTTGACTGCGGTCTTTCAGTTGTGACTTTCAGGGTACTGAGGCATGTGGTTTTAGCCAACCAAAAGCTTACTATGTCGTGTCCCCCCAAAAAGCATGTGTCCAGTGGAGAGAAGGGGGCTCCCACATGACTTATCTGGATGTCTAGAAGCAACGTGCCAAGCTGTGCTTCCAACAGAGGTTGGCTGGCATTTGTGGGGATCTCCACACAGACTTGTATTGCTTCCAAAACTATAAAATAATACAGCACCGGTAAGGTTGTTTCCAGGAGCCCAAGGAATTCCTGGGGAAATACTGCAGTTTATTAACACTATCATGAACATTTTTTTTTGGCACAGGCCCCCTTTACCTCTTCCATAGAGCAGGGAGTTGAAAATGCTCTAACATTCAGATGTTTTCCTTCTATCATCACTAGCAGTGATACCATACAAAGGGGGAATCCACAAAACTGAGAAGGTCACAAGATTTAGGATCATGCTAGGCAAGAAATAAATCATAGGGTAGCCTGTTGACTTCCTAAAGGGACAGGCTAATCCAAGAAGGGCAAAGCAAAGGAGGATTCCATTGTAGGTGGAATCCATGTTTAAGAGGCCTCTTCTGAAGGTTAGCATTTCCTTCTCTGAAGAATCAAGGCAAAATCCAATTCAACCCTGAGCATATGTGTCTGTTTCCTCCCTAGAAATGGCAGGGAGGATTCTGGGTAGCTACAGCATGGATAGCTTGGAAGACAGGAGGTAATGGGTATTACAACAACCGGTACAAATGGTTCTCGGGGCCAGTCTCACAACCACTAGTGTCCCATTTCTAAGACACAGCCTCCTGTTCTCAAAGCTACAAAGGGGCAAAGCCATCTTTCTGGGGAAGAAAAAGCATTTGAGCCAAGGATCTGGCAGAATGCTAGTGAGGATTAAGGCAGCAATTGGACAAGTATCTCAGGATCCTCTCCTCTCAAATGTTGCTTGAAGCCAGGAAGACAGATGCAGTCTTGTACATGACCCAGATACAAGAGTAGCTTTTGGTCCCCAGTTGCTGATCACTTTTTTTTTTTTTATGATTGCAAATAGTTTAAAGATATCTGAGCTACAGTAGATCAAAACAGTCATAAGGCACCAATGACTATGTGCTAAAAAGGCCTCTCACAGAAAAACCTGAAATCCTATTCACATGACTAGAAATGTACTGGTTCAGAAAGGGAAAATACAGCTCCAGAAATTTTTAGTCTTTCCACCTACTGCTTTAGGTTTCCACTGTCAAACATAAAAAGGAAGGTAATGTTCTTTAGCAATCTCTGCCTCACTGGTTACATCCAAGTGAGAAATGACAGTGAACAAAGCCATTTACTAGAAAAAAAGCTTCTGGAAAGCAGGTAAGTCAAGGCTCCAAACCACACTGCATCAGTGGAAATATGCCAAAGGCCTCCTCATGATTAGGAGATTCAAAGTTCCATCATTAAACAACAAAAGGTAACA